TGCGATTTCGATACAATTAATAATTTATAGTTTGTATCCCAATATTTAATGGATATTAACAATATTTTGCATACCAATATCCATTGCAAATGGATATTGCACAACACAATAACCAATAATAGTAGTCAAAATTATTATTTATTCTCCACCTTTTGCAGTATATGGTCAGACTGTAGTGCATTTTGAAAATATGATGAATCTTCGATACTATAAGAAACAACATTTTTTCATGTAAAAAATAGAATGCGGGTCATACGGGTGACCCGCAATCCACCCACATAAGTGCGGGTGGGAGATTTAACAATCCGCAATCCACCCACATCAATCACCCATTGCATGCTGGTCGGGTTATTTGCGGGTGGATCGATATCAATCCACGGATTAACCACCCACATGCCCACCCCTACTGGTACCAATGTCATATATGAGTATCAGTGCAGTGGTACAAATACCAGTACAGTGGTACAACATATCAGTGCAGTGATATATTTTCACAAGTGACCGGAGAGAGTCTGTCGGCGGGATTTTGTCGGCGAAGTGTGGTGGTCGGAGGAAACTTGGTAGTCGGAGGCTACTGGGAAAGGAAAAATAAGAAATAGGAGTGGGAAAAATCAAAGATGAGAGAGAATTGTATTTTGTATATGTTTAGATTTTTTTTTAAAAACAAGTAATCAATGTGGTGTATTTAATGCTTACTTTGTATTTAATAACAGAACATTTATTATGTCTACCTTCATTAATACTTGTCAATGATTGATGAAAAAAATTGACCAATTGAGAAAGGGGTGTCAAAAAACCAACCTCTTTAAGGGTAGACATAGTATCATACCCCGTGATCAGTTAACTACTTCTGCTGTGTTCAGGCAAATTTCGATTGTGCACTGACAGTGAGAGATACGATACGACTCACGGTTACGCTACTCCTGAAACTATTTATGGATTAGGAACGGTCGAGCCCTGAACCGGAGAGGTGCTTGGAGTTGAATAAAATCCATTGGTGTCCATGTCTCATTTTATTGAGAAATAAGGAAATAACTACCGGTAATAGTAAATATGATTGAAAAAAAAGTATTTTTTCAAAGATATTCTTATAAGCTAACATCTAGATATACGAACTGGAAATTTTTTTAGACAACCGTAATAAAACATATAAGAGAAAGAGACGACGGTAGGTAATTAGTCGAACTATCAATAAGAGAGTCTTTTTCGCCATGCAACGGAAAACTCTTTAATGCATTTACGACATAGACAATATCGATGACTTCTAGTACCCTATAAAAGCGAAAATCATGAAACTAACCATTGTTACTCAGCGAGGTACTTGAAAGCCTATCTTGAATCTCGGCTCCTTTTGGGCATGGGGAGAATTCCTTACCCAACTTCAACCCAATTCTTTTTATAGGAGATCGTCACTCGATAAAATTAATGTGTCCTTCATTGAAGTCTATCCACTTGATTTCCACAAATTCGAACAACTGACGACCAATCAAAAGGGGGTTTAAATTTGCCGCATGGATGGATATGGCACGTAGTTCAACTGGTTTTTGGACTCTATTAGGCTAGGCTGAATGAGCTGGGTTGTATTGTAGTAAGACAAAAACATAGTTAACGGTTCTCATGCTCAAAATACCAACGATGACATATATTAGTTATTGAACTTTCAATATGTGAATATGAAAAGGATATTTGCAAGTGAAACTGCATCCGAAACACAGAATTTAGACGCCAAGTTGTTGCGCCACTAAATAATTAAACCTACGGATTGTAAAATGTATGTTGTCTACGTCTCTACGAGTTGGCGCCTCGCCATCTGTGAAACCTCTAGCCTGAAACTATCTAGCTAGGTGAGCGGTGCAGATGAGTAGAGGTGGCAAATGGATTGATTCGTGGATTGGATTTGTGAATTCATGAATCCAATGGATTGATGAATTTATGGATTGGATCAAGTTGATTGATGGATTATCCATGAATTAAAATGACATTCTCAATCAAGAACCAATATGTAAAACGTGAAAAGTTTAGGTACTAAAATGTAATAATGAAAAATTTTAGGTACTAAGACGTAATTTTCCAATGATATTTCATGTATAAAAAATTAAATTTTGGGTGCCAAAATGTAAAATATTAAAAGTATAAGTACCAAATCGTAATTGGATTTGGATCAAATGGATTGGAATTAAATGGATTGGATTAGGTGGATATTTTTAATGGGTTGGTAGATTGGATTGGTGATTGAATTGAGAATTGCCACCTCTACAGATGAGTGATCTCATAACATCCTAATTAATGTCCATAATGAGCAAAACAAAGTGCAATTAGTTTATGACAGAGTTTAATATATCTAGGCTGTTAAACAGTTATCTTGCTAGCCGTGTAAATTATAAACGAATCAATAATAGAAGGTATCGATTTTTCAGTGGTCAAATTTAGTTAATTAGTAATCGATGGTTAAACTGTTCGTAATCAATAGCTAACCGACTAACCAATTATGTTCATACTCACAGTTAGGATCGGAAATAATAGACATCAATGAATCACAATTATAATATTAGCTTATCTTCAAATGAGAATAATTTCATTGGAGGGCTCTAGTAGGAGCACCAAAGAATGATGGACTTGCGCTCAATAGCTCGAAAACAATAAGCAACATTTAACCTTCCATGTAATTTGGTGGGGCTTTTGAGTTGGAGAATTGTTGTTGGGTCTCTTCTTCTAGTATGTTTATTTAGTTAAATTTGATGGTAGAATGATGTTTGTTGTGTACATATGTTGGATTGATGTTGATTATGTATTGATATCTAAGTTAAATTAATATTTTATTCAATCATGAAAACTAAAAAAAATCATATGTATGTAGGAAAACATCTACAGAATAAACACGTGAAAAAGGATGTCTTTTGTTGGTTAGGTTACACATCGGTGATTTTGGTCTAACCTTGTCGAGACATTTACTTAACGATTACCTAATTAACCGACTATATAGTTACGGTTATGGACTAATATAAACATTATAATTAATAATAAGCTCAAATTACTTAATGGTTAATCGACAACCGACTAAAAGACTACAGTTATAACTGAACAGACTAACAACCGTTAATAAATCATTTTAACTTATCAATAAATATAAGAGTTCGTCACCGATTATAAATACTATAATAAAGTTTTTAAATAGAAATTTACCAATTAAAATTGAATATTAAAATTATCGATTTAACTCCTTCAAATACATGTACAAGAAACAAACCAAATGTAAGATAGCCTAACGGTAAAGTTGTCGCGACAGTGATGACTTGGGAGTTGCAGATCCCAGGTTCGAATTCAAGCGAGGCTCGTTGGTGTTCCCAGAGGTACAAAGTTGATGGGAGCGAAACCCTGTTGACGTCAAATTTGAGATTCCTGGGTAATAAAAAAAAAACAAGGGTTTACAACGCATCAACCCTATAATGAGAAAAGACAAACTTAATACGTGAAACATCAAACAAAACATGGGACACCTATGAAAGTTCTGTACATACTTTCCAAAATATCATGCGGACATTAACACTATGTTTGGGAAGGGGTGTAAATGGAAGGGGGTGCAAGTTTGGAGGGGTAAACACAAGTTCCAAGGTGTTTACCCCCGTTTGGTTATTTTGTAACAGTAGGGGGGTGCAAAACGTGAGCGTAAATTCACTGTTTCGGCTTACCCCCCAAATTGGGGTGCAAGGGAAGGAAGGAAGGGAGGGGGAAGGGGGAGGAGGGGAATTATGAATTTTTAATTAGACTATAATTACATAATAATTAATATTATTAATTTTTCTTATATCTATATTAGTGTAGAAGTTGTTTGGGGTTGACCGTTTGACTCAGAGAGCAAGTTTGTCAATGTTCGCCTCGTCAAATCGATATCTCTTAGTTGACCCGAATTTGCATTGAAAATTAGAGATAAGAAGCATTTGTTGAAAAGATAGAGAGGAACAGTTTAGTTAACTCGATTTACTTTAATAAGTAGTTAAAGCTTACAGATTCGAACGTGTTTGACTAAGTTTGACCATATTCAATTTAAAGTTAGGCACGAGAACCCCCTTAGGATGACCAGTTACGAGTTGGATTTCGAGTTTCGAGGTTGCTCGACCAATGATTATTATTGTTGTTATAAATAATTATATTTGAGCATTATTATATAATAATTATTTTTATTAAAATTATTTTTATTTATTATTTTTATTATTATATATTGAATTTTCATGTTTGTGATAATATTTTATAAATTGATAAATCTATTTTATAATAATATAATTACTTACTTTTTACTCTATTTGCACCCTCTACTTTTTCATCAAAACAACAATTTACCCCTCCACTTACACCCTCCACCAAGTTGCACCCCCCAACAATTTACCCCTCAACTTGTACCCCCCTCGAACTTGCACCCCCCTTGTTGCCAAACATAGTGTAAAGGAGTTTTTACTTTTTACAAAATATACTTAAGGCGTAGGCGCGTAGCCATCAGAAAGGTATAAATTCTTATTTTCCCGGTAATTGGTATAGTTTATTTCCCCCTTGAATAGCCAATTTTCAACTTTTGGTAAAAATAAGGGAAAGGAAAGTTCCTGTTAATCCTGTTCCGTGGTTAAAAAGGTACGCAAAAATTGGATTTATTAATTTAACTTAAAAAGTACACGGAGAAAAGGAGGGAGTTCGGAGGCTTATTTGTAGACGTTATATAGTACAGGGACTAAAAAATCTGGATTGCACCATAAGATAAAATAAGTCATCAAAGGGTTAATTGCATGGTTGGTCATTGAAATTATAAAAAACGTTCATGTTTGATCACTGAAAATATTTAAATTCAATCTTTGTCACTCGAAGTATTTAAATGGTTCAAGTTTGGTCACTCTCCGTCCATTTTCGTTAACTCTAACTTACGTGGCAGTCAACTTTCATAGTTGACCGTTAAATACGTGACATGACAATTAAAAAATATTAAGAATAAAAAATAAACTTTTATATTTTCCGCCTCATTATTAAATTTATTATAAAAAACCCCTATTTTCTTTTCTATACACCCCCATACCCTACCCGACCCAGCCTCACCACCACTAGAACACAACCTCCGGCCCGACAGTGGCATTCCTTCCGTTCGCTGCTGATTTACTAAACAAAATGGAAACCCACTAAAAAAAATTTAGTGGGAGCCGTACGGACAAAGATTCACCAAGAAGGAGGAGTTGGTGTCTTCCATGAACTAGAGCAACGGCTGGATCACCACCTCGCCGATCGGCTCCTTGAAAGTCGTCGCCGATGGAGGAAATGTCGTCGTGACAATGTTAAAGAATGAGAAGGTCGTGGAGACGGAGATCGACCTGATTCCGATGTCCCTGAGAATGAGGTGGACGTTGCGGATGGCAGACAGCAGGAACGGGAGCTCGGAGGCGGCGAAGGTGTCCTCTCCGACGGAGATCACGACGATCTTGGAGCGCGGATAGAAAGGGAGGACGTGGACGTGCAGACAGTGGACTGTCAGGGTGCGATTGGAAGCTAGGAGAGCGAGGAGCGAGTTTGGAATTGAGAGGAGCAGTGAGGTGTTGGTGAAGGTGAACGCTCTCATGAGATTGGGATCCGGCAGCCGGCGCCGAATCGTGGGTCACAGACGTCAAGTCGCAGAACCTCCTCCTCGACCAGGACAATAATTTGAAGGTTTTTGACTTCGGTCTCTCCGCCCTAGATGACGCCGCCGTTGACGCCGCCAACGGAATCCTCCACACCGCTTGTGGAACCCCCGTTTTCACTGCCCCTGAGGTTCTCTACCGCCGCGGCTACGACGACGCTAAAGCCGATGTCTTGTCTTGCAGAGTCATTCTCTTCTTCCTTGTTCGAATATGACTTGAATTTGATTTGGGTTTGTTTTGTGTTTTGGGCCTATTTTGTTTGGGTTTGTGTTTGGGCTTTGTTTGACATTTTTCCTTGTATGTTTGGGAAAAGGTGTTTGGTTTTATATTTGGGATTAGGAGAAGAGTTCTATAAATACTCTTCATCACCCTAGTCTGTAGTAAGGTCAGTCGGGTTAGTTTGTTTGGTTTGTCCGTTTGAAATTTGGTTTGTAACCTGTACTCTTCTCAAATTAGTGAAATTTATCTCCCCTGCCCGTGGATTAGCTAGCACAAATTGTGTTAGTAAACCACGGTAAAATTGTGTTCGTTCGTGTTGGTTTGGATTATCGATTGCACGCTTCTGTTCTGACAAGTGGTATCAAAGCCTTTGGTTACGGTTTTGGGATTTTTTCGTTGGACTGAAGTTTTGCTTTGTGGAGGTAGCTTTCATTTCTTCAGCTTGGTTCGGTGTAGGAATCTTTGAAGTTGACTTTGGGTAGTTGTGTTTTGGTCTCGCTTTTTTGGTGAGAAGTTTGGTTGGAGTTTGTTTGATAGTAAGAATGGCTGCTATCAGTGTGAAGATTGAGAAGTTTACAGGAAGAAACAGTTTCAGTTTGTGGCAGATCAAGATGCAAGCAGTGTTGAAAAAACAGGGTTTGTGGGCTCCGTTGTCAGGAAAATAGAAGAAGGAAAGTATAGATGAAGAAGAGTGGATTACTTTGGAGGAGAAAGCTCACTCTACAATCTTGCTTTGTTTGGCTGATGACATCATCACTGAGGTTGCTACTGAGAAGACTGCTGCGGGCTTGTGGTTGAAGCTTGAAAGTCTATGCATGACAAAGTCTTTAACTAACAACTTGCATATGAAGCAACGCTTGTTCAGTTTGCGTATGGAGGAAGGTATGTCTCTCAGGAATCATCTAGATCAACTCAATACCATCTTGTTAGATCTGCGGAATATTGATGTTAAAGTAGATGATGAGGATCTTAATTCTGTTAGTATCTTTTCCACAGTCATATGAGAATTTTTTGGATTCTTTTATTGGTGGGAAAGATAGTTTGTCTTTGGAAGATGTCAGATCTGCTCTACATACTAGAGAGGTTCGACATAAGGCGTCTGGTTCAGGTTCGGAAAATCAGGCATCTGGGTTGGCTGCTACGATTAGTTGGAGACAACAATCTGGTAATAAGAAGACGAATACAAATTCGAATTCTATTGGTTTGAAAGATGATATCTGTCATTACTGCAAGGAGAAAGGACATTGGAAATTTGATTGTCCTAACTATCAGGAGAATAAGGAATCATCTGCTGCTGTGGCGGAAGAAACTAACTCTGATTCTGAAGATGGTTTAGCCTTAACAGTGAATGAACAGGTACATCATAAGGATGTGTGGTACTTGGATACTGCAGCTGATTATCATCTGTGTCCAAGAAGGGAGTGTTTTCAACTTATGAGTAGATAGATGGGTGACATGTTTCTATGGCTAATGGTGCTATCTGTAAGATTGTTGGAAGAGGCTCCGTCAGGATGAGGACACATGATGGTTCTGTTCGCACCTTGAACAATGTTAGGCATATTCAAGAGATGACTAAGAATCTGACATCTTTGAGTCTACTCGACAACAAGGGTTTCAGTTTCAAAGGTGAAGGTGGAGTGTTGTCTGTCTACAAGGGTTCTAAGGTGATTTTGAAAGGTGTCAAGCGTGGTGCCTTGTATAATCTACAAGGTTCTATTTTGACATGTTCTGTTGGTGATGAGTGCACCAAGCTAGTTTTGAATGGCAAGTCTCAGCATGGGTTGGACTTGCCGAATGGTTCAGTTTGTTGACCGCCCTTAGGGGCATTTGGAGGCAGGGGAGATTCTGGTACAACTGATTTGGAGGAGTTAGTACGTCTGGCAATTTTGATTGCATATGAGTTTGGCGATTTGGATCGCATTTTGAGTAAATTTGGCGATAAGGATCGTGTCTGGGTACATCTGGCAACTTTGGTTGCGTCTGGTACATCTGGTATTTGAGAGAGAATTCAAGTCAAGGTGGAGATTGTTAGAATATGACTTGAATTTGATTTGGGTTTGTTTTGTGTTTTTTGGGCCTATTTTGTTTGGGTTTGTGTTTGGGCTTTGTTTGATCTTTTTCCTTGTATGTTTGGGAAAATGTGTTTGGTTTTCTATTTGGGATTGAGAGAAGAGTTCTATAAATACTCTTCATCACCCTAGTCTGTACTAAGGTCAGTCGGGTTAGTTTGTTTGGTTTGTCCGTTTGGAATTTGGTTTGTAACCTGCACTCTCCTCAAATTAGTGAAATTTGTCTCCCCTGCCCGTGGATTAGCTAGCACAAATTGTGTTAGAAAACCACGTTAAATTTGTGTTCGTTAGTGTTGGTTTGAATTATCGATTGCACGCTTTTGTTCTGACATTCCTCCTCTGTACAAGAAGATCCACCGGAAGCAATACAAAATCCCGAAATGGATTTCCAAGTCGGCCAGATTTATTGTCTAGCAACTGCTCGACCCAAATCCCGGGTAATTAACATAAACGGTCACAAATCTCTACACTTTGTACAAAACGGTCACAAACCTTTATTTTTGCACGATTCGATAATAAACGTTTGACCGTATAACAAAACAGTCATTTCGTCCTTCTCCATCCAAAGTTTTGTTAGTTTTGTCCAGTCAGCACTCCACATCATAAAAAATATTAATAAAAAATTGAACTTAAATCAAACCACCCAACCCAACAGCCCAACCCACCCGACTCTATAGAGCGTGCCCCAATTTCAGGAAAAAAAACCCTCCACCTCCCTTAAAGTCACTCGTCGCCGACTCGCCGTCGAGCACGAGCTCCATGAATTGAACACTAAGCTTGGAATCTTCGACGAGGCGGTATGTTTGTACTTTAGAGAAGAAAGGCTGAAAGGGAGACCAACCTGTTGGCCCGCCTCATGTGGCTCAACAATAGCCAACGAGCCAAGCGGTGGTAATTATAAAAAAAAAACAACAACAACAAATATTAAAGCACCGAAAAATGCAGCAGGAGCTTTGATCTTCCAACTATCCCATTTATTGTGAGGCACTCTAAAATGCCTATAAAAGGCAACGAGTTTGGCCTCTGAAAATCATTCCACACCATTCCATCTTCTCCACTTCCTTCCTCTAAGCTATTTCTTTTGTGGGTTTTTTGGTAGTGAAACGTTTTCACTACCACGGGTAGATAGGAGATTTCCTTGTGAGTGAAATAGTGAGGTTGTTTGGAAAACACCGTGTGTTCTATTTCTTGTATTGAGAAAATCTCTGTAACCTACCATTGTTATAGTAAAGAAATACTCCGGAGCTGTTGTTCCCGTGGACTGGCCCAAAATCAGGGTATACCACGTAAATCCTTAGTGTCATTTATTATTATCTATGCTTGTAGTTATTTTGAGAATAGTCGTAGTATATTGCATTATTAAATTACCGAAGTAAATTTATCTAAGTAAGTTGGTTACCGTAATTCTGGAGGCTCTGCCACCAGGTCCAACTTACCTGTGAACTTTTTACAAGCGTGTGATTTCTTAGTGCAATATATTTAATCGCTATTCTCACCAGCTGCGCCCAACAAGTGGTATCAGAGCCACGTCCAATGGAGGCAAAAACAAGCAAAATGATAAGTCTGAATGGCTCAAACTATCACATATGGAGAAACAAGATGAAGGATCTCCTACTCGTGACGGAGTTGCATTTGCCGGTGTTTAGCCCAACTAAACCTGATGGCAAAATTGAAGAGGAATGGGAGTTCAAGCATGAGCAAGTATGTGGCTACATTCGACAGTTCGTCGACGATAATATATACAACCACATTAGCGGAGAAACTCATGCCAGAACTCTGTGGAGCTGGAGGCACTCTATGCATCAAAGACCGGCAACAACAAATTATTTTATCTGACCAAGTTGGTCCAGATGAAATACAAAGAAGGCAAATCCTTGGCGGATCACTTGAACGAAATTCAAGGGATCGTGGATCAGTTGTCCGGTATGGGCATAAAGATGGAAGATGAGGTGGTCGCTCTCCTCGTTTTGGCTTCCCTTCCAGAATCTTTGGAGACGCTAAAAATTTCACTTACCAACTCTGCGAAAGATGGAGTTATAAACATGGAGATTGTCAAAAGCGGAGTCCTAAACGAAGAGATGCGAAAAAGATGACAAGGTGCATCCTCATCATCTTCCCAGTCAGATCTTCTGACAGTAGATTCCAGAAGCAGAGGAAGAAGTGAAGCGAGAGGCTCAAAGCAAAGATGCAAGAGTCGAGGGAAGTCCAACAAGTTTGCCAACATCAATTGTCATCACTGCAAGGAAAAGGGCCACATCAGAAGATTTTGCCCAAAGTTCAGAAATGAGAGAAGGAAGGGCAAACAAGATGAGAACAGTGATGATGATGGTGCAAACTCTGTTGATGAGTTCAATATTGTCTACGAGGAAGATGTTGTCAATCTGACAACCTAGGAGACAAGCTGGGTGGTTGATAGTGGTGCTACCATCCACGTGACGTCCAAGAGAGATTTTTTCTCATCTTACACACCAGGTGACTTTGGTGTGGTAAGAATGGGAAATGGTAATCTTTCCAAAGTTATCGGAAAAGGAGAAGTCTGCTTGGAGACGATGAATGGTACGAAGCTACTGCTGAAGGGTGTCAGGCATGTTCCAGAAATGCGCCTGAATCTCATCTCTGTAGACAAGTTGGATGAGGAAGGTTACTGCAGCACCTTCCACAATGGCCAGTGGAAACTCACCAGAGGCTCCTTGGTGTTGGCCAAGGGCAAGAAGCTGTCAAAGCTGTATGTGACGGAAGCTAAGATCTCCCCAGAGATTGTCAATTCAGCAGAGAATGGTGACACAATTGAATTGTGGCACAAACGGCTCGGTCACATGAGTGAGAAGTCCATGGCAAAGTTGGCCCAGAAGAAAGTCATAGTTGGGTTGGATCATGTTCATCTAAAGAAGTGTGTCGATTGCCTTGCGGGAAAACAAAATCGAGTTGCTTTCAAAAGTTCCATCCCTTCAAGAGCGAAGAATGTGTTGGATCTAGTTCACTCAGATCTCTGTGAACCCGATGTCA